CAGACTTGTTATTTTATGCTAGTAGCTACATGGTTACAGAAACAACTGTACATGGTACCATGCTACAAGGGTCAAGTGGCAGACTTGTTTATGTTATGCTAGTAGCTACATGGTTACAGAAACAACTGTACATGGTACCATGCTACAAGGGTCAAGTGGCAGACTTGTTTATTTTATGCTAGTAGCTACATGGTTACAAAAACAACTGTACATGGTACCATGCTACAAGGGTCAAGTAGCAGACTTGTTTATTTTATGCTAGTAGCTACATGGTTACAGAAACAACTGTACAGCTTTCACATTAATCTTTTACAGATATTACTCTGAAAAAAAAACCCTGTAAAAATGCATTTAAACAAACAGTAATCTTACCACAGTCAGTAAACTAAAATGCAGCTTTAATGTAATTTTTCCTCCCAAAGTTAAAATAACGTTATTTAGAGTACTTTAAATAAGATGTTTCCTATAGTTTGGTTGACATTGCAGACCTTTAACAGCTGTATGTTGAGAATTATTTTGTTATGCCCGATGATTGACCACACTGTAAACTTGTCTCTATAAATGCCTGACCATTGTAAGATAATTATTGACCATTTATAAAACAAACTCAAGAGGTCACAATGCCACTTTCACGTGACAGAGCTATAAAATTTACGTTAATACCATTTTCACAACAGTACTTCAAATAGTTATGTTTATATCATTACTCTAAATAGTTATATTAACACCATTTCACATGACAGAGGGCCCCGGCATGGCCAGGTGGTTAGGGTGCGCGACTCGTAATCTGTGGGTCGTGGGTTCAAATCCCCATCACACCAAACATGCTCGCCCTTTCAGCCGTGGGGGCGGGTTATAATGTGACGGTAATTCCCACTATTCATTGGTAAAAGAGTAGCCGAAGAGTTGGCGGTGGGTGGTGATGACTAGCTGCCTTCCTTCTAGTCTTACACCACTAAATTAGGGACGGCTAGTGCAGATAGCCCCCGTATAGCTTTGTACGAAATTTGTAATAAACCAAACCACATGACAGAACTTTAAATAGTCATGTCAACATGTGGTAATTATACTTCATGTGTTTTTCTATGTCAACATGTGGTAATTATACTTCATTTGTTTTTCTATGTCAACATGTGGTAATTATACTTCATGTGCTTTTCTATGTCAACATGTGGTAATTATACTTCATGTGTTTTTCTATGTCAACATGTGGTAATTATACTTCATGAGTTTTCTGTGTCAACATGTGGTAATTATACTTCATGTGTTTTTCTATGTCAACATGTGGTAATTATACTTCATGTGTTTTTCTATGTCAACATGTGGTAATTATACTTCATGTGTTTTCTATGTCAACATGTGGTAATTATACTTCATGTGTTTTCTATGTCAACATGTGGTAATTATACTTCATGTGTTTTCTAGTGTCAACATGTGGTAATTATACTTCATGTGTTTTCTATGTCAACATGTGGTAATTATACTTCATGTGTTTTTCTCTAATATCTGATAAGTGTATTGTTAATAAACAAATTATGAACAATGGTTGAGAATGCTGGCTAAAATATGTCACCAAACACCAAATAAATTGAAGGACTAATATGAAACGATTTCTGTGGGTGATAGTAAATTGAATCTAGAAACATACAGCTTTCTTTTGGTATAAATTTTTTATTGTATTTTGTTAATGTAGATAAATGTTTCATTTTTTACAATATCAAAACCTTAACCATACAGTTGTTGTCCTTTTTTTACCAGCTTTACATAAAATTTTGTGAGATTTAAAATACAGAAATAATTACTCTTTAAAAATTAATCTACCCACCCCTGTTTTTACTTATTTGCTATACTTTGCATATTTACAGTTTGGCAAATTGAAGTTGAAAAATTCCGTATATTATAAAAACTTGTATATACAAACCTTTAAAACATTTTAATATCCTGTCTTGTTTATTCCATTTCTTTGAGCTTATACATTATGAAGAATCTTGAAAAAAACTATATAATGTACAATTGATACACACAATGAATGATCTGTAGTTTAAAAATGTATACATAAAACAAAAGTATACAATAAAAGGTGTAAAATTGTCGCACATAAATTCAATGTAATAGGTTATGAAGACTTCATATTGAAATTTGGATTATTTTATTGACAAGTTTTATTTTCATATTTCTCACACAAATTTATTAAATAAACACTGATAAAACAGCTTAAAGAATGTTAACTGGTGATCTGTATTTACTCTTAGGCCTAAACTAAATTCATGCTAATAAAGCATTGTTAGTGAAAGACCTCAGCACATACCGTAGAATAAAATGCCCAACTTGGTTTTATTGTGATTAGTTATTTGGAATTCTATGTTCTGTATGATATCATTTTACGTTCGATTCAATCATAAGAGCAGGATTATCGATTCCCTGTGATTCCAGTTTTTCCGTCATAACAAGTCCAGTTGATCTTCTTTGGAAATATTTGATTCTGGCTTCACTATCTCCCGGTCCCCAACTAGATTCAGGTGTGACAACCTTCTTCACATTCTGTTGTGATAAAACAATAATCATACTGTAGCAAACAATGTTCTGAAAATAAAAGTAAAAGTTTTCTAAAGGCTGTACATCTATCGAAAGAAATTACCGTTTCTTGTTTTCTCTCCTCTTAAATTGCATTATGCAGCTTATAAGAACATCCATTTCAATGAGGCATCTTGGGATTCCTTCCACTAACGTGTAACAAGAAATCACCAATCACAAAATAGTTTGTCTTTTCCCACAACTTTGCCTAAAGGCACTAAAAGAAAAAAAACTTGGCAGCCATTTTTATATGTTTTTGATGCATTTGATATTATCCCCTCAGTTGAGGTTTATAATGATTCTTTATTATAGTATATGTTTACTATCCCATTAAAGTATATTCGTGTTAAATCATTGTTTGTGTATATTCTTATTCTTTGGAGTATTTTTTTCTTACTCCAAAAAAGATCAATTATAAGCTTGGTATTGTTCACAGTCCATGATTTCATCTTGAGAGCAATGAAAAGGATTCTGTAATGATGATGATATTAAACCGTTACAATTTGTAATCAATTTTATACTTTCTGATTGGCTGAGAGCTTTCAAAAAGTTTTGAGATATAGAAAAGTTTTCTCATCTCAATTTTTCTGCTGTATCAAGGTAGTTAGCAAAACTTTTCATGAAGAAAGTCATAAACCATTATATAACAAATGTTGCCTTGTGGAAACTGGCCTTAAGAACACACACAGATAGTTTAATCTACACTGTTATCTCTTATCAAGACACCAAGCATGATAATACTACTACACGTTCTGTCGGACTTAACCGATAGCTCTTCACCATTATATAACAAATGTTGCCTTGTGGAAACTGGCCTTAAGAACACACACAGATAGTTTAATCTACACTGTTATCTCTTATCAAGACACCAAGCATGATAATACTACTACACGTTCTGTCGGACTTAACCGATAGCTCTTCAGGAGTATATAAAAAAACCCACAATTAGTTTATCCTATATCAGCCTCTTTATCAAGATATCAAACAAAGGTAATATTACATGATCTACCAAACTTACCCAACAGTTCCTGAGGAGTATAAAGAAACCCCACAATGGTATCTGACACATAGATATGAGGGCTAAGAGCCAACCAATACCATCAGCCCAAACTGGATATTCATAGTTCTCCCCATACTTGATCACTTTGTGCTCCCAAAAGCTGTACACAAAGATGAACTACAGAGATGGAAAATAAAGTTTATAAAACTAATGTATGAAATGAACAGAATATTCTAAGTTACTGAAATCATGCATACCCATTGTGTCCATGAGTTGATTTTGTTACTTGCTGTTCTATTTTAATTTATGTTACATAGGTTGGATAAAACAAGTTTTTTTGTTACTTTATTCTACTTATCTGTATTGGAAGAGCTTATGTTACACACTCTTTATAATTGTTGTTGAAAGTACTAAATATATTATTAAAGGCATTTTGAATAAAACACCTATCTGTTGTTTTCACCTCTACATACAACAAGTATTTACTGGAACATACCACCAATACTAAGGGTGAAATAACTAGCCAGCAAGCCCTCCAAAAGAGACCAGGACGTGTACCCAACATGAACTCCAGGTCATCACAAAATCGATTTACACCTGCAATAAATATAATTATACTAAATAAAAGTGAACTCATGTTTATTTAGAGTCTTCCAATCTCTGTTTGAAGGCTCTAGATTTACATATTACACAGGTTATATACTTGAAATTCATGTCTAATGTTTTAACTAGAGACCATAATATCTAAAGAGTAAGTCTGCAACTGTCAATGTGGCTGAATACATGCTGAATGTGACTTTAACTCAACACAACTGTTAAATCCGATCTTTTAGTTTCAAATTATGTCATTATATTTTTGTGTTATCGTACAACACTGTGGCATTAAGGGAATGTATAATTATTGCATGCCAAGACTTATAAATAAAAAGATGTCATTGCCTTATACTTTTGAAAGACAAGCCTTACATCATGTATGTACAGGTTATAAAAGTTAAGACGAGCCTTACATCATGTATGTACAGGTTATAAAAGTTAAGACGAGCCTTACATCATGTATGTACAGGTTATAAAAGTTAAGACAAGCCTTACATCATGTATGTACAGGTTATAAAAGTTAAGACGAGCCTTACATCATGTATGTACAGGTTATAAAAGTTAAGACGAGCCTTACATCATGTATGTACAGGTTATAAAAGTTAACCATTTCCTTACTTGAAAATGTATCTCTTCTTCAGCATGTCTGCCAAAGAGATTTACATCCCACTAGCCTTGAGGCAACCCCACCCCCACCAAATTTTATGTGAACGGTGCCACTGCATGAAGATGTCATCATGCAACAAAAGCCCTCCACCAATAGGAGGTTGACATATCTCCATGCACACACCCCCCTTGTGCAGTTGCACTCATGAATCTTCATTTTTTGATGAGGAAAGTAAGAAAATGTACATCAGAATTGGGGAGGATGGCTGGGAACGAGTATGAAGATATCTATTGGAAATCAGGTAAGGAAAATGTTAATTTTTGAGACAATAACTCATCTCTTGATATTAGCCAGAATCCCATTTTAATATGATGCACCCTTCAAATAGTAGATAGTGGTTGAATGACACTCATGGGGTGTAATACCCAATGGCAAGGACTCCTCAGGTATACATCCGTGAGAGACTGCATCTATTCTTGTTCAGGGTATACTCTTCGCTCATATAGGAAAAGGAAAGAGGCATAGAAGCCATATTTGTGTCACAGGGGTGGACATAATTGGTATGTGGCAATCCGAGTACTTGCACATAAGTCATCAGACAGCCATTATGTGTAGTGTGGTTGGGGCTCATTCAGACCATACCGTGTGTGCTCACCTCAACTCTGCCATTAGATCCTATAGAACTAACTTCAGCTGCAGGAGAAAGGACTTTATTGTAAATAATATAGATATTTATTGACCTCAACTCAACCACCAGTCTCTGTGGGCTTAATGCCAGATGCAGGAAAAAGATGTGTGAAATACATCATAGGTGTGTATGTAGTGCTCACCACAAATCTACCATCAGACTCTGTGGGACTTACACCAGATTTGGGAGGAAGGCACATTTGTTACGTAGTAAGGACTGGTATTGAGTTTGAATGATCTTGACTCTACTGAACAGACCCGTACTGCAGGAGGAGAGTACATTTGTTATGTAGTAAGGACTGGTATTGAGTGTGATGATCTTGACTCTACTGAACAGACCCGTACTGCAGGAGGAGAGTACATTTGTTATGTAGTAAGGACTGGTATTGAGTGTGATGATCTTGACTCTACTTAACAGACGCGTGCTGCAGGAGGAGAGTACATTTGTTATGTAGTAAGGACTGGTATTGAGTGTG